TAACGAATTACATTATAACACAGATCAGTGGAACATTTTTTTCACTTTCGTAAGGGGCCGTCCATAAATGACGTCACGCACCTGGGGGGGAGGGGGGGTCAGACGTTTGTGACGATGTGTGACGAGGGGGGGGGGTTGAGAAATGTGACGTCACATCAAAATGCGCAACTTTAAATAAATATAGACAACACGTTCTACTTAATTAAATAGACTTTATAATACATGTTTTCTCCTACAACATCAGAGTGCAGCGCCACATTAAATACGCACTACAATGACAATAGTTTAAAGCGATTTGCAGCATGTTTTTTTGTTGAGGGGGGGGTCTGACTTTTTGTGACGCCGTGTGACGAGGAGGAGGGGTGTCAAAAATCGTCAAAAATCACGTGACGTCATTTATGGACGGCCCCTAACAGCTATTTTCATTGGAGTATATGACAGGTGAGGCTCTGCCTCGCCTGCCTCCCCTGACCGCACGTCCCTGGTATAGCAGTGTCTAGTAGTATGTATGTACGTTGAATTTCTTTGTCACCGTACGTAGCCAACCTCGCTAATGGGAGGTGCGGGGGAAGGACAACAAACTAAAGACAACAGCAGCAGCAGCTGTAACGAGAGGAGTGCCGTGCGCTGTGCACAGAGACCTTGCGCTTGCTGGGAGCTGCCCTCGCGTGAGACTCTCCCACGGTGGCCCAGCGTGAAGCAGCCCCCTTGCCTCCTCCTGCGTGAACACACGCACACACGTGAACACACACACACACGTGAACACACGCACACACGTGAACACACGCACACACGTGAACACACGCACGTGAACACACGCACACACATGAACACACACGTGAACACACGCACGTATGTGAACACACGCACACACGTGAACACACGTGAACACACGCACACACGTGAACACACACACGCACTTGAACGTGAACACACGCACGCACTTGAACACACGCACACACGTGAACACACGTGAACACACGCACACATGTGAACACACGGACGCACTTGAACGCACGCACGTGAACACACGCACGCACTTGAACACACGCACACACGTGTGAACACATGCGTTAACACGCACACACGTGTCAACACATGGACACGTGTGAACACACGGAAATGCATTAACACACGCACACACGTGAACACACGCACACACGTGAACACACGCACGTGAACACGTGAACACATGCACACACGTGAACACACGCACACACGTGAACGCACGCACACAAGCACACACGTGAACACACGCACGCACTTGAACGCACGCACGTGAACACACGCACACACGTGAACACACGCACACACGCACGCACGTATGAACACATGGACACGTGTGAACACACGGAAATGCATTAACACACGCACACACGTGTGAACACACCCACACGCATATTTGCGCATGCAAACATTTACTCACTCACATATTTACAAAAAAAGTCAATGATCTCCCCTGTGCCGCCTGAACAGACCGTTGTCACAGGACAGAACCAGGTGCCATTGGTTGACTGTTGTGCTAGGCTAGGTGCAGAAGGTCACGAGACAGACCCTGCAGGTGCCATGGGTTTACTGAGATGACTGCCAGATGCACCACCTGTGCCCGCGACTGTGCCAACTCGGTCCACAATTAAAAAGATGCCCAGTGTAGCCTTCACAGACTGTTGCGGTCAAGTGCTGTCAGCAAGCAGCACCTACGAAGGCCGGCACGGCACACGAGGGGTCGGCTCAGTTGAGGCTGAGTCGACATAGGGGAGTCTCAGGACCGGTTCGGATCATCGTTACTACTGGTGTTGGCCGTGAGCGGGCATTTAACTTGGGTCGCCGGGTTCATAGCGCAGACTGCTAACCAGTTTAACATGTAGGATTTCGCGACCAACATTATTAATGAAGGTTTTTATGGGTTATATCGCGTAAATATGAATGTGTCGTTAAACCCGTCACCACCCGACGCAGCCAATTCATAAGGTTTGTCAGGTAAACAAAACGTGCCAATTAGTGAGTAGTTCAGCACTAACCAGTTGTGTGTTGGACAGTAAACCCACAACATTCACAATTCGAGAATGGTACTGTGACGTTCCACTGGTGATTACAACCAGCTTCATCAAGAGAGTCTACAGGGGGTCTCTGTGTGAGTCTACAGGGGGTCTCTGTGTGAGTCTACAGGGTCTCTGTGTGAGTCT